GGCAGTCCCCGGAACCATTGCCTCCATACCGTGTATCTCTGCAAAAAATGGTGAGCTGTGGTACCACGGTAAGCTGGGACAGGCACGGCTGTAAAGGGAAACAGGACTTGTAGCCACAACAGGCTCCAATGGAGACCAATGGGCAGCCATTGTGAAAGGTAGATTACTGTTGGACAGAAGCCACCCACAACTCCAAGGACACAGTAATCGTGTCACACTCGAAACATCGTAAAAACGGGGCCATAAGAAGGTCTCGAATATATGGAACCGGGCGACAGGTCTGCGAGAATATAGCAATGTGTGTAAGGCCAGAGCTGAAGACAACACACAGCTAACAGTGGAAGGGAAGAAGGAGAGGATGTCCCCAGAAAACCACACAGGGCTCCCATGAAGAGTTTCACACAGAAAGTGGATTAAGATGAGGTATTACAAAGAGTGTCAGAGAAAGACCAAGTCGAGAAAACGGGGCTTGGGTAGGATGAACAAGAAAATTGCCCCCCCCAAAAAAACAGGTAAAACTGAACCCATAACTGGTGATCCAGAACTTTGGAGCTCGCCCTAAAAGTTGCAAGGGCGGACCAATCCAAAGCCCGCGGGTAATTAGGCATACCAATGCCATCACCCAACAGGGCAGCAAAGCTCAGTATAAACCCCGAACATAAGGTCATGGAGGAAAAACAAGCAATAAGGAAGGACGTGGATCAAAATAATTATAGCAAGAGATAAAACATCACAATACCTGAAATATAATCTCCGAGAAAGCCGACAAGGGCTGAAGAGGATTCTCAGGATGGTGTGGGAAGGTACGGCGAACTACGGGGGGAGGGGAGAGAAAGAAGATCAATATTTCGTCAGCCTGTGTCTGTACAGGAGACAACGTGCATTCCATATAATGCTTCATCTCCCCATGAACAAAGGCTGAGAAATCCCCCAATGAGTCGCCCGTGCCTCTGGTCGCAAGTACAGTAACAGATGAGTGATATGTACCCAAAATGGTAACAGCAACTTCGAAGTTCAGGCTAGATACTAAACATGCAAAAAATGCATGGCAAACACAGATAAATCAAACGCTCTCCAATAAAAGTGAAGTTAAATTAAATGAAGTTGAATTAAGTTAAATAAAATTAAACCACTTCTAGGGTGATCAGTTGTCTAAAGAAATACGTCTGCACTCGAGCATTGCCAAACTTCAAAGTGATAGTTTGGCAGTGGCACATAGAGGGAGTTACATGATAGTAGTGCTCTCCTATTGGATGGAGAGTTGAAGCACGATGATTTGCATGAAAGACATGTTGGAACTTTGAATTCCAATATAGGGATGTGGAAGGCTTGTGGCATGCATTTTGAAAAACGTTTGCATATAGAGCACAGTACAAAACGGGAAAAGCTAATCTTGTGAGAGGAGGGAAGGTACTGTATCGGAACTTAACAATATTCAATAAATAAGGGCTTCAGTCACTGGAATATTTTGCTCTCACCTTACAAACATTCTAATCCTAACAAGTCTTACCTGATATCTCATAATAAAAAATAAAAATTATTTAGTTTTGAAACAAATATAATTTGACACAAAACCATTTCTAGGAATGAAAAGAATGTTTCAAGAAACTATAAAAAATTCCCAAAACTGTAGTTTGTTGCTACGCTGTTTCAAATTCACATTACGTTTTGATGTACTTTCCTGCACATGTACTCTCTTCTCACTTTCCCATGAAACCACAAACTACTTCTCACACCAGCTTATCCCCCCTACACTTTAGTAATTCACTCTATCCAATGATATTTAAACTTTGCTTGTAGCTATTTCCGAAGCCGTACTTTCGTTAGTAGTTCCTAAGTACATGAGAGATTATAAAACAAAAGATGCCAAAAGAAGTGTGAAGTTACAATTTGTTTGCTTATTTTGGGAATTTAAAGTTTTCTGTAGACCTATGTTTCTTCATCCATGAAAACTTGAATAAATGTCTTTGCTACATTTAATACACTTCTGAAGCATTTGAAAGAATAAATTCAGTTTTCTCACTCTTTAATTATATAGTAGCATAACTTTTGTATAAACTCATTTTATCATATCTACAATAGGATGGTTTCTATTTTTGAAATTTTGATTTACAACACTCTCATCCCCTCACTTTGTTTCAATATATAAATAAGTAATTCACACCACACTTCATCCATATTAAATAATATTTAGAAGTTTCTCAAGGTAGTTGAAATTTTATCTTGTTGCTTGGATTATATCTGCATATTCTAGAATGTTCCAGAATATTCTAAATAATTCTGAAAGATTCTAGATTATTCTGTAATGTTCTAACATATTATAATGGAATATTCTAGCACATTCTGGAATATTTCAGAGTATTCCACATTATTCAGAATGTTCAAGAACATTCCATATATAAATAATCCAAGCTGCTACTTTTTACTTCTGTAATATTCTTTATGACATGACATCAGTTTCTAGAAGTTCAGTATATAAGCACTTAAACATGTTCTTCTCTATCATATCAACTGATGCTGTATCACTGTAAATGGATATTGCAACAAGAAGTATGACTACACTTTGGCTACCTTGGTTTAGAAGAAACTGAACTAACGGGAAGCTGGACAAGTGCTTTGTATGTTTTTCTACCATCACAAAACATTAAAGAAGACATATATAGATATATGTTACAGTTTTCTTTCCATTCCCACCAAAAGTTAAATTGAAAACAGAATTTGTGATGTAGAAGCCTAATGCTTTATTTTGATTGGCCATACCCCCCTGCTGTGAACTGTAGTTTCACCTATCCAAGGCTCATCAACACAGCTTGGGCTGGCAAATCAAAGAAATACAATTAGGCCTCTTATACCATTGATTTTTATATCAAATTAATGAAGTTTTTAAGTCCTCTTCAATTACCAATAAAGTAACCTAAGATAATTTAGGTGTTTGAATAATGTTAGAGCTTGTGCCTCAATCATTATTCTATATTATATATCAGACCTAAATTACTTGATTAAGAAGAAAGTCCTTGTCTTATAGAATCAACATCAGTGATTTCAAAAATGTCATCCACATTACTGACAACCTGTGCTTCATTGACTTGCTGTGTTCTAGTTTTCCTTTCTGAAATTGTCTTTAGATTTTTCAAAAAGTTTTTTCAATTTGATAATGGCATAACTTTTTGATAATTTGGAATTCAAGCCTTGTTCCAAAAAGCTGCAGCCTCCTTGATCACAACCTTTGACCTTTCATGAACAGTCTTCTTTATTTTTAATGGGGTTTTTTAGGTCCTTTTCAATTCCAATAAAATAACATAGAGGGAAAAAGGTCATCATGGGTGCATAGGCCAGATTGATAAGATCCTCTCTTTAAAAGAATCAAGGGCTAAAAAAAGAAAAAGAAATGAGGCAAGTATGAACAGAGCAGAAACAGCAGACCTTGAATGAAACTGTCAGTTTTGGGGAATTATCCCAGAGCAGTGATGATGAGGTCGGTGGATACAATACCACTAACAGTGATAAGGATGGAGGAGCAATTGGAAAATCATCTTCTTCTAAACCTAAAATGAGGGCAAGAAGGAATATTATTACTTCAGATTTAGCAGCAGCTATGGACAGAACCAACTTGAGTGACAGAAAGGCAAAACACCATCCTTAACTTCCTCTATGGCTTCTACTACTTCATCATGATCAGCTGCCGTTTCATAACTAGACTGGTCTATATATTCCCAAGATTGCTGGAATTGAAAGAAATGCCAGTACAACTTCTAACATATGATGCTGACATGCCAAATACAGAATATTCTTGTTTAATCTTTTCTCTAACAGCATACATGTTCTATTTCTGTGACCACTGTTGCTTGCTGTTGTGCCAAAGAAAACTGTCTGTACATGATCATGTGCATGTGCCACAGCAGAAGCTTGAGCCTCTCCAGTGCTTCAAATCAACTTTGGAACACCTAGGAGTTGGTTTACTCCTACTTCAGATAATCCACTTGTTCTTTCCCTGTGAGGTCACTAAGAAGCTTGCTATCTCACTGAAAACTACAAATGAAACTATTGCCAGGAGCTGTTTCTTTAAGTTTTTGACAAATTCTTCATAGAAATGATGTAGAGATCTTCAGATCAAGGAATGGTTGATGGTTAGCTATGAATTGTGGCAGTAGGGATAAATGATTGAGTTTGCTACATGATAACTTCAAGTCAGTCAACCTAGAAACAATTATCAAGAGCTTCTTGAACTAGCCATAGTCTTTCTTAGTGACATCCCTCCTCAAGGAGTGCAATGTAAAGCACCTGGAGCATTGTATCATGTATGATGAATGACCAAGACATTATATGCTCTCAAGATCTGGATGTTTATGAGACAGTTTAAGCTCACTGACTGTGAGGAAAGAGGACTCCATGACATCTGCATCTTCGTAATGATATTAACTTCCTACAATGTCTTGTTAAGTATAAAAAAGGTGAATTCTGCTTTTTCAAAATCTGCTAGTCAAAAATTTGCTGGACATCTGTAGTATCTTAATTAGAAACTCATTGGTTTGGCATTATTTGATTCAGCTGTATTGAAGGAGACAGAATGAGCAATGGTCAAGTCACTAATTGAGAAGAAAGGCATGGATTAACATCCAATGTGCAACTGGCTTAATATCAGGAAGTTTGAGGATACATCAAGTGAAGATTTTGTCAGAAAGAACACAAAAGACTTCTTCAGGTGCCTCAAAATTTCACCTTATTTCTGGATTATTCCAAGTCAGGGAAGCTCAGAGAGGACAACAGGGAGGTACTGTATACAGTTCAACACTTGAATGTGGTAAATTAAAATGCTAAAAGAGATGTATGTGGCCCTTACTGAAAAGTATAATGTCATTATAAAAAAGAAAGAGGAACAGAAATAATTCCTCCTTCAAGTTGTACAGGATCACAGAATACACTTTTCTAACAACAAAAAAGAAACAATAACAATGCAAAAGTGTCTAATCACACCAAAATCATATAATTATGTAACTATACTATTGTATAAGCAATAAAATAACAGTACATTTTAAATAAATCATTTATAATACATAACAAATGTGTTTTTATATCACATAGTACATACAGTACCAGACTATTGCAGTCTAGAACTTCAGTCTCATTGAGTAACCTTACATATGGTCCAAAATGAATGAAGGTTGACTTTTAATGTTTTTCTATAATTGGAACATAATTATGGGGTGAGAGTTTTAGAATTTTTAATATGAAATTTTACCTCCAAATAAAAACCAGCCTAACCTACAACATACTAGATATCAGAAACAAATTGTTTTATTACGTGGCACAACACAAAAATCATCATCGCCTATATCCCAGGCATCATCTGTACTTTTTTGGAAATTCTGGAATGAACTAGAAGATGGATTTCTTTTATGACGAGTCTTTGATGGGTCTTTACTTGGAACAGAAGGCCTAGAAAGCAAAAAGAAAATGTGATTAATGCAAATATATAAACTAGAAAAAAATAAGTGACTGATGCCCTGTATTTATTCAAGCATGGGATAAATCACTGAAGTTAACACCATGATATGGTAAGAACATGCCTAACCAATATCATTAACCTCAAGCAAATTTACTTAAATACAAATATACCTGTACATCAAGGATATTATGAAGCTTATTTAAAAAGTTTTGTGATGCTTGAAATTATTTTAGCATAAAATAAATATTCAATATTTAATTGTGCTTAATAAAAGTTTGTATAGTGTTCTGAAGGAATAATTTCATTTTTCTAAGTATCTTTTGTCATTAAGAACTGCAAGGGGAAATGCGATATGATTATTATAGTAAATGTAAATGATACAGATATGAAATTTGAAATGGCTTCCCAATAGTATTTATTTCTTCACTTTGTTTAGGTATAAAAAGTTCTTTTAACTACTGATAATTGTAAAACAAAATATTTTTTAGAAACCAAACTGTCAATAAATTGTTACCCAACAGTTTTATATATTTAACGATTTCAGAAATGTTTTTAATAAAACAAATATTAAATACATTTTCAGATTTTTCAAAACTTTTCTTAAGTTCTTCAAATAAAAAAGAACAATTATTCAAATTATCTGCTTGATTTAATGAATGGGTCACAACAAATTTACAACTTATCTAACTAACACTAATATGAATTTCAGATAAAAAATTACATTTAAGTGGTGACAATATGCAGTAGCCTATAAGCATATGGTGTCAATGGATCTCTAATGAGTATGCAATTTTTTTTAACTAATGGAGAATAGGAGCCCTGAGAACTGAAGTTAACTATGGCATAATGTGATCTTAATGCAGTCCTCCAATATAATGTAACTTATATACACGGATATTTTGATGCATAAATTGTATCAATATTGTTCTCCGCTTCTGTGTCTATGAGTAGGATAAAACCTTAACTTTTTCTATCTTCCTAGTATTGTTCAAGTTTTCAAACCTTAATCAGCCTGATCACTTAATAGATAACTCTCTGTAAGTAACTCCATGTACTTATATCTGACCCAAAACACCATAATTTCCATGAGATCACATAGCTTTGTTTGTGTTGCCAAAGTCTGCAAGACTATAATACCTTTGCTATTACAATGTACAAAATAGAAAAACTCAAAGTAATTCAACAGAATGACCTCAAAAACTACAGGTGTTTATTCATGGGTTTCAACTTCTTGCATACTATATCTCTATACCACTAAATATTAAATGATTACTTTCAATAATGTAATCATGTTAACTTCAATAGAAAGATACCATTTCTTATACTTAAAGCCATGGTTTCAAGGCTGAAAAAAAAGGTAATGTTATTTGAGGCATTACGGGATATGTTCTGAAATGAACTTTTGCATTTTTAAGCATTTTGAGAGGTTGGTGCCTTACATAGGTAAGCATCAAGTACTGGAGAGTGGAAATCATTGAATAATTATTGTTTAATCACTTCAGTATGCTTATGCCCATGGCTTTTGTGTATATTTTGCAATAGATAATTTCATGCTAAACAGCTTCAAACAATGAAATATCTGATAAATTGTGCAACTAAATGATGCTGAATTTCTATTTTTATTATAGAAAAATGGTTCCAAAGATTTTTCTACTCTAGTATCATAATGTGTATGACAATATAAACCTGTATCTTAAAATTAATACCTCCAAGGCCAGGTGTAGATACAAGTTACATCAGTCCAGAAACAAGCTTAATCCTTATATCAAAATATAGGTATCTAAGAGCAGGTAAACACACATTTATATGAATTTTCATATAATTTACTTTGTCATACAAAATCCTCAACAACTGTAAGTCATGACTGTAAGTGATATGTCTTTACAATATCCAATGAGTTATAATTAGAGCTAGACAATTAATGCTATTAACCAATTATATCAATTAGTGTGAGAAAAAACAACAGATTAATTGAAGTAACAATTAAATAAATGAATGTCACAAACATAATCAAATAATCAAAACTAATGTTTCCAATTATTACTGTTTTCAATAATTCTAATTACCAAAACCTTATGTGGGAACAATCAACTAATTGAATGTAACTGATTAATGAATCTGGTGACTAACTGATCAGCATATTTCATTAAGCACCCAGCTCTAGTCATGATAGCTATTTTTTTAAACCTTCCACACATGACTTCATACCACTTAAAAGCAGCTCTAACTTAGGAGCTACCACAGAGATAACAGGATAAGTATGGTAATATACACCTGACAGTAACATGGAATATTATGTCACATATGTTTATGAAATAATACCCACGATTTAATGTTTGGCAGTTGGGTTAACAAAAATACTTCTGCTTTATGAATCCAGTCAATGGGCATCCAAGCAAGCAAAGTCATTAGTTAGTAATTATTTAATTCATACGCTTTAATATTAATGACAAATTGACAGATCAATTCTGAAAAATAATCAATCTACAGTATGAAACTACAGTATAACCATTTTGGCAAGGAATTTTCTATCAAAATGAAACAATATAAAAATGAAATAATGGAATTCAATCAGCACTGCATTTGTAAAAAGCCACATTTGTCTCTGCTTTTTTACAAGCACTCTAAGTATAGATGTAACGATAAAAAAGACAATTTACAGCACTATTGAAACCATGTATAACAACAATACTTATCCATCAGTTTATGTACTTACTGTGTAAGTGGAGGGTGAGTTGCTCCGTAAACAGGTTTTAGGCTACAGAATAGAATAACAAATAGCAGTAAATGGTGATGTTAAAACAGTACACATCAACCCATTTACTCCTTAACACTAGCAATCACTTTAACTGTATATAGTAATGTCAGAGCAGAAAATTAATGCATGCCTAGTACCAAATACCCCTAAACATTATGTTTGGCAATCAAAAATTTAAAAGGGTGTGCCCGATTAGCACAAAAGACATTGCAACAATAGTTTTATATTACATAAAACAACACTGTCATACAGGCCAGTGTGTACTATGAACTAAAATCAAGACTATTTTCATACTACAAATTTAAGATTTCACATCCAAAAACCATTGCAAATGCAGGATGTCTTTTGCACATTAATTTATAGATCATTCGGCTAAATCAGACTATGTTGTCAAACAAGCCCTTATCCAACCAAGGTTCAAATCCATGCTGATGACAAACAGAAAGTTAATGAAACTTAGAAAATAATGATGTGTTAAATAGCCTACCAATGATAATTATTGAAGTCATATGAAGGCCTATATAGATTGAAACAGCATTTATATCTTACTTATCAATAAATATATATATATAAAAACAGCAGTTTATGCAGGTTGCTTTCCAACCTAGCTAAATCTCAATGTGCATACATACATATATATATACAATTATTATCATTAGTAGTGTTACAGTATTATCTTGGTTTAAACTAACTTTAGTGGCAGTAAAATAAACCAGGGTTTTAATGCCAACAAGAAGGCCTAGATATAAGTCTTATTAATACTGATTAAAACTGAAAGTTGAAGATCTTAGCTATATAATGCTTTACATTTAGTATCATTGGTAAAAAAGGAAGTGTGGTTTTTTGTTCGTGCATAGTTCTAAAGATTTACAAAATCCATGCACAAGATATAGGCCCAGACTTAAAATAAATCATAACATCTCCACAAGCAGCCTTATGTTTGACTGTTTAAATCCAATTCAAGATCTGTCTATATCTGGGCTAGCTTAATACACTCTAGGCCTCAACCATGTGGTGGTATTAACTTATGAAGCAAAGCCCACAGACGAAAATATAAAATACCCTAATAACACTAACCATTTATCATAAATACTAATTTATGCAATGTGATAGGCATGGTACTTGAAGCTATACATGTAACAAATCTGCTTTGGTGCTTGGTAATATCACTAAGCAGACCAGGCTCATCAGGTGTTCTTAGGTCAAGGGCTGAAACACCACTAGCAGCAAAGATAACCAACATATGACCTACGACAGAGTGATCATAGAAGCTTTTCGTAACTTGCCAGTTACTATTAATCTAGACTATTTATTATTAATTGTAATTAATATTGTAGAATTTTAGCAGCTCATCTTAGCAATATATTGTGATATAAACAGAAATTCTGATAGAGTGAATTTTTGGACACCCAAAAATCTCTTAAGAAAAAATTAATTTTGCATCTTCATTAGATGTACTATTAACCTTATTATGTGTAAATATTTCTAATGGCAGAATCAAGTCTTAAATATTTCCTTCCTCCAAAACCTAACAATATTATGAAACATATACATCTTCAATAGCCTACAAGGTTTATAGATATAAGAATATGTAAACATTTCCATTGATATCCATTTTTGTAACTTTGAAGTCAGTCAAACACACGTACAAAGTTTTAACATACATGAATTAGTCATAAACTTTAATTATTACTCTGTTATCATCAGTGTAACATACTTAGTTTTACTCAACAGTAGCCAGAGTAATAGCTTCTAGTCCCTACAATATCTTCCTCAAAAAAATTAATTTTTCTTCATAAGCAAACCAGTAAGTTAATTTTAGCTTTATCTGTCAATGTTATATTTGCATATTTTTAGATAGCATTAGCGAAATACTTCAAAGTATAATATTCCTACAATTATCATTTTAAATTCTCCACACATCTTACACACACACAGTATTTGCTTACATCATTTTACATTTTTTACTACAACTTTAAGCTATAAAGCCTCAAAAATAATTCAGCTTCATATTTTCTATTATTCACTTTCGTATTCTATTTGCATCTATATATGGGGTACTAATAATACAGCTCAAAAAATAAATACAAAAAATTATTTTGTTACATGCATCTAACATTTTGTTTCTTCACTAATGCTGAAGCCTTGTTTTAAATATTACAGTATTGTCAATTATATTATCAACATGATATCTACATGATAACTTTGCCTGTTTTTTATATTTTGTCATTGTTTTACAAAAATATTAAACTCCAGCAAAATATGTAGGATTTTGTAAGTTTAGACAAGAGCAAGGATCTCTTCTTTTGATTTAGTCGATGTATTCAATACAAAGTTATCTTTTGTTGTAATAAAAATATATTTGTGACATCCCTCAGATATCAAATAATCTAATTTTAGCTTTATCTGTCAATGCTACTGTAACTTTGGTTTTATTTTGGTAAGCCTATACTTCCCAGATTTCCTATACTCAACTTTGATAATAAAAAAAAATATGCAATTTCGTTAATAGGATAAAATAGACATAAAACATCGAATTTGGTAAGTGATATTCTATATAGTTTCAATAATACAAAAATGTAAATTTCAAAGCACGATTCAAACAAACAATGTAACAGGAATGACAACAGACACTAATGATCATACTGGTTGTCTACAGTGACATACATCTCTTTTTTTTTTATCACTGTAATTATAGCTTTTTAAAACTACCTAAAATTACTCTGTTTCTCAAATTAAGATCTAGGTCATAATTTACAACTAAAATTACATATTTTGTCTTTGTATAACAAATTTGTTTTGTGTGTAATTACAGTACTGATTCTAGATAAACCAACAAATCTTTGAGGTAAAACATTTTAAGTCATACTGAAAAATGTAATTTAAGACATTTTTTTAAATATATTTCTATGATCAAGAGCAACGTTGTCTAACACAGTTCTGATAAATCCCTCTCAGGGTTTGTTTTACAGAAAAGTTACATTGGGCTATCTATTGTGTCCACTGCAGGGAATCAAACCTCGATTTGTTGTGTTGCAAGTCCATAAACTTAAAGCTGTCCCACCAGAGGACCTCTTTCAGTGTAAAATATCAAAGTTTTAGTTTGAAGAAATGAAATCTTTATCAGTTACCACAAACAAAAATCAAAAAGTCTCTTATATTTGATAAATCTTTATCATATCCATGTGGTAAAACTAGGTAATATAAGAATAATAAAATATAGTTTTACATATTTAACAAGAAATCTGAAATTTATAACTAGTTATTTTGAAATAAAACTCAGTAGTTCAAAAATGCATGAATTAATTAATTGAAATAGTTATCCTTACACATTTTTTTTTTATTTGTAAAAATTTAATAAATTTGTTTTTACAAATTTTCTTTTCATAAGATACAAAAAATAAATAATTTACTACTGTATGATCAAGATTTTTGCCCACTGAGTGAATTCATACTTAATTAATTTTACTACACTTGTTGACAGACACCATAGTAACTGTACCTAAACAGAAACATTTAAGTAATATGTGTTTCAGAAACCAATGGACACAATGGTATGAAACTTAATGTTTACATCTATTTCACCATGAAGAAAATGATGTATGTCATGTTGTATATTATGATGATGATGCCCAAGGGTATAAAAACAATTATCCAAGTTCATATGTCAGCAATTTTGAACAAGTCACTACAATATGGAGAAGTGAAAGTTAGCATGTGATAATGTGATGTTCTTGCAGTATTGTAGTTTTTGAAGTTTGATTACTGGCTTGGGAATCATTGTTACTTAAATACCATAATTATGTGTGTGTGTGTGTGTATAACCAAAGATTTTTGGGCAAGGCCTATCTTAAAGGTTTTCAGTAAACTTATATCACACCTGATACATACATCATTGAATGAATTATTATTCTTAACTTTGTTTAGCACAAACTGAATAGAAACATGAATGAATAAACTATGAAGTCTTACACTAATAACAGTACAAAAAATAATTCAAAGTGGCTCCAATAAATATATGTAATAATGTATTGAAATGATAAACAAATTATATGCTACATATTTAACATCCATATAAAAATTAATGCAACTAGTAAGTATTTCAAGTACAAGCTAGTAAGGTTTTCAAAAACTCCTTGAAATGCACATTAACACCAGCCCAGTAGTGGTGTGGAAAGTGAAAACTAAACATTGGTACATGAAACAGTTTCAAGTCACAATAACTCTTTAAGTTAGTGTATAACAAATGCATTCTATTAGTATGCATGTTAGCACAGATGGGTGTTATAATTCTAAAAGTAAAAGATATAGCTTACATTTTTAGAGTTTGAACAACTGAATTTCTAGCAAAAATATACTTTTTATATACAAAATCAAGTCTTAGGAGACTAATTTCATTCCTATATATTATATCATAGGTTGTTATGGGTGTCTAAAAAATAGTAAATACATATATTCCACATACACAACAGTATTATGCACCAAGAAAGTAGCTGAAAAATATACTGCAAAGTAGACATACTCAGACAGTTCTTTTGTTAGAATTTGGGTGAAATTTATAATAAAAAATAAAATAAAATAAACAGCTACTTACATTTATCTCAAGATAATCTTATCCTAGAACTTAGTACATTTATATAATGAAAATAAGCTGTTTGTGGTAGATAAACTAAGTTTAAAAACTAATAGCTAAAAGCTAGAATTGACTGAAAAAGTATATATGTATATAGGTAGCTTGTTAGGGGAGAAAATAATGTTTCATTGATGTGGTATTATAATCTTAACATACCTTCCATGCTCATTCCTTAAGTTCTTCTTCCAAAATGCAGTTTTGCCATCAATTGTCTTTTCATTTCCTTGCATAGTTGACAAGGTAACCTAACATGTACAATTATCTGAAAGAACAATTTACTAATGTTTTTGTTAGACGTTAAAAAAATTGTAACGTCTTTTCAAAGTCTATTAAAAGTAAAAGTTAAAATTAACTTAAGGCAACAAAAATACCTATGAGAACATTAGATGTATTGCTTTATAATTAAATACTCATAATCAACTGTATATTCATTAATTCTGGAAGTTACTTCGCAGTTTATGTGGCATTTGCGTTATTTTCGGCAAAACTTTTTTCTTTTAATAATATAATAATATTTAACTTTGCCTTTCATCTTAACACTTAAAAAACTTCAAAATTGTGAGTAGCAGTACTCCGTGTAAAGGTAATGCTAAAAAAACTGCTTTAGACTAAAACAACAACAGTGCTAGTAGTACTCTGTCAGTACTGCAATTTGAAGATTTAATAACTGATTATACGTTATATTACATATCATTATTAGTGACTAATTTCATATATCCGTGATATACTAATTATGACTAAATTCTTATCTATTGTGTGCGTAAAATTTATGAAATGTTATACAGTCAACTGAAAATCCCTAAATATTCACATATTATTTATTTCAATCTAAACAACTGTACAATTTATACCTCGAATCTTTTCAGCTCAGATATAGCCTACGATTTAAAAATCAACAATAATAATGATAATGTTTAACTATTCGTTTACTGACAACAACAGTAAACACATCACTAGACGCCACCATCTTGCCACCTCGGATACTCCCGCTGGATCTTTACGGAAAAAAACAACAAAAAATTTATATTAATTGCTTTAAATATCATTCTTTTTATCCAGAGTTATCTCGATAGAAAGAAACGGCTTGTATATGAATTATCACAATTTTCGGTCCTTTGAACTTGGAAACTTTGCAGTCGGTCATTTACGAAGTTTCTGATGATAAAATAAAAATATAATTTACCTTTTCTTTTATCCCAGTTTTCGACATATAATATTATAGCTGATACTTTGTATACGACAATTCGAAAAGGAACTTTACATTAGGGAAACGGCCCAATGTAAAATGTAAAAAAAAACAAAAAAACAGCAATTTTTCGAGCATTTGGTTGCTATTGTTTTGTTTTGTTTCTCAAAAATACATTAATTCTATTCCTCTTACCACGTAAAGTGGTGCGATCTAGGCAATGAATAGCTTTGTTATTAAGTTATAATTATATAATTTTTGTAGTGCATATTGGTGTATAGAAGACATTTTAAATCTTGAAATAAACGACATAACTTAGAATGATCTTCATCTGTTAAAGTGACACAAGTGACCTTTACTCAAGTTTCTTCCTTGACATACCTGTTCAACCATTGTATACCTCAATTAGCTGGAGAATGAAACTGGTATTCATGCTCTTCTATATGAAGATATATCAAGACACTAGATGCAGTGCCTAGGGGTTTCTGTGGGATCAGACTGCTGAACTAGGTGCAAGGAAATCACTGCATTTATAAACTTGGGGGATTATGGAAAAGTGACCAGGGAGAATTGGAGTACTTTGGATACGAAATTGTTTTTCTTTACCTGGACACTCAACGTTTCGCTTTACAGCTTCTTCAGGAGCGTTCCGCTAAAACATGAATCTTAACTGACAGTGCAATACTTCAAACAACTATGAACACAGATGAATAGGGACAAAGGAAGGCGCCTTTAATATTTATTTTATTTTTATATATTTTTGTCATCCGATCTTTTTGTTATTTCAACAATACTTTTCTTTCAATAATAAGCTTTACTAAATAATATGTCAAACGCACCCTGTAGAAATGCACACCATAGATTCGATTATAATTTATTATTTAATTGTTTGTTTGTAATTAAGCACAATGGGCTATCTGTGCTCTGCCTACCATGGGTATCGAAACCCGGATTCTAGCGTCGTAAGTCCGCAGACATACTGCTGTACAACTGGGGGCTTATTATTTAAATATTAAACCATTTGAAGCTCTGTACTGACGGTTACGGTTTGTGTTTTAGCGGAACACTCATACAGAGTAAAGCGAAACATTGAGTGTACAATTAAAGAACAACAACAATTTGGTGTTATAAAGTCGTTTATTTCTAGATTTATTAAGTTATAATGCCGAAGTGTCATATTAATGTGGTGAAGTTAGCCAAATAAAAGAAATATTATCGGGATTTAGTTGAATAGAGCCAATCAGTTGTTTCGTGACAATAATTGCAATTTTATGTATTGTTAAATAATTATATACTAGTTTTATACTTTTATATCAGTTTGAACAAAATCTGAAACCCGAAACACAAAAATCAAAAACATTTATTCCTTGATATGTCTGATGACAAAAGGAATTATTTCTGAAAGTATCAAATAACCCGAATTCTCTAGCTTTGATACAGAAAAAATAACCTTAGAACTTATGACATAACTCATAAATATAGATAGTGAACATATTATCTAATAATTTAACGAGTTAGAAGACCAGTGAATATTAACAGAGTATTTCAGTGTAGTACCATAGGAGTAACACATCATGTTTTTTTTAAAGTCAGGGAAGTATTTATAGATATAATTTGATTTGCCATTGTCTGATTTTCATGTGTTTATATATGTTTGGTTTAGGAACATATCACGTGTTTTTATCTACTTATGGTATCATAATATTTATTCTGAATTCATTATTTGTTCTGAATATGTATAGGTTTCACATAATACGCGGTGAAAAAACCTTTAAGTTGATCATGTTTTAAGTTAAGTTGTTTCTTTGTCAATCTCGAAATTGGTAATGCTCAATACGACCTTGTGAAAGGATGGCGAAAACAGTGACATTAAGTGGTTGTACAGGCGATACCTAGAGGTTGTGATCCCATCAACGAGTAAGAGAATGACTTGTCACATAGTAGCTCATTACCTCTGTATAAATGCGAAGTGTCTTTGAAACTAAGAAACCTGGCAATCAGTTAAACTGAGTCTTCTCTTTTAACTAGTCATTCATTTCTAGATCTCGGTATTGACTAAATTGAATCATGGAGATGCTACTTAGAACAATCATCCAAACTAAGTGCTCTTAAAGCACACACACAGTGTTTGTATTTTGTATATGATAAATACTGTTAATTTTGTGTATTACTTGTGTCCAGTCTTTTTATTTCATTTTGCATCAGCTCAGTCAAGTAAGACGTTTAGTTACACTTTGTAATCATAATCTTGAACAAATCTCCTATTATTTAATGAATCTATCTGATAATTCAAACAAATATTAATTCATCTAATTAGACCACAGAGTTGATATGTAGGAAAAATCTGGTCCTGTAACCACACTGTGTACTGCTCTTCACTAGAATGCTTAATTTCTAATATGATTCATAGTTAGTAAATTGCATTTTCTTCAAGTAGAAGGGCGTACAATCAATATGAAGGGTTGGGCATCGACGGGAGAAGGTTTTGTTGGATAAATCCTCTCCTGAACATTGAATTTTTCTTAATGTCGTGAATATCCATAACTGTGATATCATTGTGACCTTTTGCCCAGGTGAGAGATGTACTGATATCTGGAACATTCAGATCTGTCAATAAAGCTCTCTTCCCAAGAAGTTACCTCAATACAAACTGAGGATCTTTGTGGTAGTGTGATGCCTGCAGTGTCTGAGACCACGTGGAGAGGTTTGTATAGATTTACACCAGCAATAATGTCTAAGCCCAGTTTTTGTAGAAGCCACCCAGAGATAAAGTGAGACTAGAGATATCACTGGCTGATTCTATCTGTCAACTAGAGCCAAACTACAAAAGTGAGACATGGAACAGTATTGGGCTTACCTGAACTAGCGGGTATACTGCTGAAGAGAACGTAGTTCATGGAGGAGAATGGGATTAAGCAGAGGTTTGAGATGAGTTGCTTACATAAACCCATTTCTCTGCCTCCCTGGATCACAACACTAACATTCATCCAAACATCAGGGCAATTGAGAGCTCCTACTGTGCTATGCTGACATTGTTGAGGGAATCTTAGTCAGAAGATGACTGAAAAGTCAGAAGGAAACATGTCTGGGCCATCATGACCACGGGCCTTTGTGAGAAAGGTAAAGCAGATCGCTCCACTGACATTTAAAGACAAAATAAAGAAATGTTGCTTAACCAAGCAGCAAGCTAGAAGAGGGCCAGCAAGAAACATCAAATACTGTAGCTGTAGCTGTGGGAAACTAGAGGAGCCCAAGTCATATCTGGCTACTGACCTGGAGGAATACAATAAACAAATGTACCAAAATGTGTTGCGATCATGCCAGCTATTTCCAGCCTGAGTAAGTTTTGGCACATGCTTATTGGAGTACAAAAGTGAGAGATAGAGCTCCTGGTTGATCCAGGAGTGGCCAGAACATTGGTAGATCTGTGGTATATCAAGCGCTCTGAGCAAACTACTATATGGGCCTACTGACATGAACATTGTTCTGGTGAATGGAAATATATTAGATATGAATGGAGAAATCATGCTTCGACTGTATCTAAAAGGGCACACTTACAGAATGAAGGTAGTTGTCATCAATCTTGGTTCTGGTATTAGCATTCTTATAATGAATGTCCTGTGAATCTTATTGATCAGTTTTACTTGTATAACAGATGAGGATTCACAGTAGAGTTATCCAGTGTCAGTAAAATTGACCCAAGGAACAGTGATCTACACGTGTGTATGTGAGAGAGCAAGTCACAATACCCCCATGTACACAAGTAGTGTTTCTTGCTTTACTATGGACAATGCTTAGTGAGTCAGTACCGTGTAATTCAGTTATCAAGCCCATGTATAAAATATGCTGTTTTCTATCTAGAAAGCAAGTAGCATTAGCTTAGATAATTATTTGTTCAAGAAAGGATGAAGTCCCAGTGTTATTCAGTAATTATGAATGATCAACTATCCTTCAACAACCTGGAATGGTCACTAGAATAGTGAACAAAATGAAAATAATAAATGCTTGTAGTAACACTAGGGTTGTATCTGTTGTGCTCCATCTGAAAGTAGATACTTGGATACCAACATGCCTGAGATCATTATTTGAGGTTTATGGAGACAATCTAAACTCAGTGCATTGGTAGAACCTCAAGGAAATGTTGGCAGAACATGATATTTTATTAATTAGACCATATGGTTTATTTGGTCAAATCACGATCACACAATATCACATAGATTCAGGTGACATGCCCAATTGAAAAACTACTGTGCAGGCTTCCTTCCTTGAAGCACTAGAGAAGTTTCCAGCACTGAAATACAGTGGGTCTTAAAAGACAGAATCATAAAGCCTTCAGAGAATGCTTAATCGTCTCCAGCAGTAATTGTTAGAAAGAAGGAAGGAATGTATGCCCAGGTTCTGTATTGATTGTAAAAGGCTGAAGACAGTAATTCACATTGATGCCTTTTCATTACCGCAAGCAAAAGAATGTCAGGTTGTATTGAAATAAAGCTTATTGGCTCATAACTTTAGACCTGGTACTTGGGTGTCAAACTAGGTGACAAGAGCAGACCCAAAACTGCTTTTAGCGTGAGAGATGGCTTGTATGAGTGTCAAGTCATGCTGTTTAGTCTGTATAACACATCTGTCACTTTTGAGAGGTTTATGGAGCTTAAAATGAAACAGCTGCAATGGGGAAAATGCCTGATAACCTAAAAATAGTATTCCAGCAGATAAAAAAGGCAGGCTTGAAAATGAAACTCGGAAAAATGTGCACTCGTTTGCACAAAAGTGGAATTTCTCGGTATTATTGCT